TGTTGTGCGTGTTCGGCTCGTTTGCATTTCGAGCTTAAAAATTTGTTCGTGTTCGACTCATTAGGCTTAACGAACGAGCCGAACACGAGCTACTTAACGAGCTGAACACGAGCTGTTCATGAACAACGAGCCAAATTGACAGCCCTAATAAAAACTACAAAATTTAATTTGTATAAGAAATTGAAGCCTATTGTTACTTGTGTTTCCAAACGGAGGATAAGTGCTTAAAAAGGGAAGAGTGCGCTAATTGTGTTTGCCAGTGTGGGACCTAACGCAACATTCTACATCTCTTCTAACATCAACGTCAAAAAGAAAGCCAACAAGGAATGGAAAATTCGTGTTCTGTCTCTCGGTTTGGAGTGATGGCAACCGATGAACAATTTGAATTTATATTTGCTACAAGGTTTTGACTGTTATAAATATGTTTGACAAAATTTTTAAAATGACATTATTTTCTTAAATTGATATTTTAAAAATATTTTTTTTTAAAATAGGCAAAATCACAATGATTTTGTCATGTCAGCACGTAAATTTGTTGTTGATATTACAACTTTGACACATCAGCAACCCGGCAACATTGTAAGAAAAATTTTTGTTGTATTTTTTACCTGTGATGATGGTTTGTCATGAAGGACTATTTCAAGAAGAGAAATGGAGACTCGGGCGAAAACTATACTCAAGTGGTATGGCTGAACAGATTACACTGCTTATGCATTCAATACTCGTCTTGTTGCATGCAATGCTTGTCAAAAATCATTCATTTACTATCTCTCTTCAGCCTAGTAAAAACGTATTTTTAGAATAAAAAAATGTAGCTTAAATTATGATAGTAATACTTTTATTCTTCACATTCAGATGCCATACTAATGATGCTTGTCATAAGATGGAATACTAATACAATAAAATAATTAATTAATCTCTTTCGTAATATGATGAAGGAAAAAATTCTGCGTTCTTGCTGATTGAACGTCTCTTGGTTTTTTATTTTATGGCGATATATATATATATATATATACATATACATATATATTCTCTACTATATCAAAAGGTTATAATATAATTGAGCGTCACAAATCTAAAAAAACAAAATAATAACAAGAAAAAGCAGCAACAATGTTAGTTTCATGGTGTCTAAAATCAAATCAGATTGAGCAGTTTAATTGATTCAATCGTCAAATCCGAGACCATTTCAAAAAATAATAAATTAAGGTTGAAATGGTGAGCTAATCCAATTTTTTAAAAAATAATAAATTCTACT